ATGTAAGAATTCTTCTTTGAAATATAATAGCATCCATTTTGGGCGGGTTAAGCATTCCAATTTATGAATTGACTTTGAATTTGACAATATTTTTGGAGAAAGATGTGGGAGTTGGTACTTGAATTAGAAGTTGGTAGTCAGAGCAGAGGAAGTAGCTTTTAGCGTACTCTCGGTATTTACAAGTTTTTTGCTTGTCAAGATATGATATCTGCTTTTTCTTTCGTGAGAATGACGAGGGTGGGTGTCACTTCCATCCTGGTAGTAGTTTCAGAAGACGAAAGGCTTCTAACTTTGGATGATAATATAGCAAAATGGTCAGCAATCCTCTTGTTCTCTTGGATCACATAAGGATTGATGAATTTGCGAGGATCACGCCTACTTGATCTTGGCTGGAGCGGTCCTGAACTATCCAGGCTTTTCATTAGTTAATCACTACACTCTTACAAAAGTTTATACGATTACTTGTGGCACAGAGTTTTTAAGAGTAAACTCATTCACTCACACAGAATACAATTGAGATTATGCACTGCTTGAAACGTTGAGCTGCTAAAAGTCGACCTTAACGAGCACATGTTATTCAAACGAAGAAAACGTTAACATGCTATCCATTTATGCTATAGTGATAATTATCTCCCATTCTGTGAGGAGGTAACGATCACTTTACTACTACCACATGTAATTAATCACTCATCAAAAAAGGCGAATCTTCAGAACCCCGTTACCGGAATGAGGATTAAAATGATGCAGATTAATTAAGCAATGTTATTAAAACCTCTCATTGTGGAAATGCACTTTGGTTGTTTTTATACAAATAACTTCCTAAGAAAAAATGTCAGTCCTAAATGTTTGACATATGTTCCATCCTTATATTCTTACAACATATTATTTTATTTTATTTTATGACAGTACAACCAACCTTTTAAAGTTTTATTTTAAAGTTTCAGATTAACATTGATCGGTAGTGATTCATAATATACTTTTCGTTCAGGCCACGTCGGTCACCAGTGGTAATCATTCTTGTGTATTTTTGCGGATGACGAATTATTGCTAGAAAGTAGATTGGGACAGTGAGAATCTCGTTAATTCATTCATGCCCATTTCTAATTAGATGAAGAGTCATAGTTACTCCCGCTTTTTACCGGCGTTTGCTTGTTTCCAGATGACAGATTATTGTGGCCTAAATGGGATGGTAGTCTAAGCAAAAGGTTCGAGCGCTTTCCATAATGAACACTTTTTTGCAGTTACACCAATCATTCTTATTGTATTCTTTCTTTCTTTCTTTCTCTCTATCTTTCTTTCTTTCTTTCTTTCTTTCTTTCTTTCTTTCTTTCTCTCTCTCTCACTCTCTCTCTTAGTTCATTTTCTCTCTAAATGTTTTTTAGTTTAGTTTTCTGGTTTAGTTTTTATAACGAAGTTTACTAATCTATATATATATATATATATATATACATGCATGCATACATACTTACGTACGTACGTACATATATATACATATATGTGTGTATGTATATATGTATGTATATAAATTCTTGTTTACTTATTTAATTGTTTATACCAATTTATATGCATATATGTGGATGTTTTATTGCGAGTATATTTAGCGTAATGTATATTATGTAGCGTGCCTTTATATTTATAGCCATCATGTCTTATACATATACATACATATACATACATATTATATATTGTATATATATGTTATATATATATATATATAAATACATACATTATACAATTAGATATATATATATATATATATATATATGTATTTTCTTATTACTAATTTAATTAATTTCCCGGCATTCCAATAAGACTCCAACAGATATAATTAGCAGTACTTTCAGTAGTCTGGCTCCTACTTAAACCGATACTTATAACGATTTTATGAGCTTGCCTTTTTTTATAACACATCATCCTTATTTGTATTACAGACTTATTTAATTATTATGGACAACCCCGAAATATTACAAAACAATTTTTTTTTCGAGCTTCACCATTTCATAATATATAATCCACATAATACAATTACACTGTTTAGAATTTCGGAGGTCGTTTTATATTTGAATTCTAAAATTCGACCTTATTGTTTGCCACGTCGCGGACGAAACGCCAGGCACTTGTAGAGACAAGGATGAACTATTATTTCATTGGTATTATTTTCTTTGCTCTTTTTTTTTTTAGAACGTTATACAACGACGGGATTTTAATTATAGTACATCAATCGACAATTTCATATAATTTTTTATGTTCTTTTTTTTTGTTTTTTTTTTCTTTTGCCCCTTTCAGCGCCCTACACAACATGCCAAAGACGTTGTTTTTGTCACCAGAGAAGATAATGGATTGCAAAAATTCATCACGATAAGAATTTTCATGAAGAAAACTTTAATTATTATACTACTACTGACGGTGTCCTATAATTAATATGCGAATTTAAAAATCACAATTTCGTAAATCGTTGAATCATGGAATCTTTTCTTTTTTAAACATAATTTCGTAAAAATTTGTTATGCACAATGTTAAATACACTAACAAGGGTCCGATATGCTATATAATAATTATTAATTTTGCTATATATATGTATATACTGGATGTTCCAACTGAAAAGCAGAATTATTATAAATATTTCCTTCGTATAAGACGTAGGGTTCCGATATCTGCTAAGAATATTATTGATTTTAATATTTCACACAATGATTTTACATTAATTTATTTATATAATTATTAATTATAATAATTATTAATTATTATCGTTTGTTCATCAAATGGAATTCTCTTTTTCTCACCGTTTTCTATTAGTTTATTATCAAATCAAAAGTGAATTTTTCCTGAACAATCAAAAAAAATTTATTTTATAAATTTTATTTAATATTTAAACTAATTGATTATTAATTATGTGTGTTTCTTTCAGGAAGTGTATTACTTGACTTTATAACTCATAGCAGAAAGCTACGAACTAACATCACTTTGAGCATTTAATAACATAAATAATAAGTCCGAAGATTATCCAGATAAACTACTCACACTTTTTATTTCTTAAGAGAGAAATAAAGAAAATATTTATAATGTTCCTGCATCTCTCTCAGCTGAGCCAGATGAATTTATTTTGATGAACACTAAACGGCAACGTGTGCAAATACCGATCACAGAGTTGTGGATTAATTTGTGATATGAATCTGGTAAAGATTTAATAAAAAGAATAGAATCAATTTTTTTCATATATCGCCTCATTAGCTGCATAAGACTATTATGGTAGTTTACTTCAATATCAACTTCATCAGCCCTTAAAGAGATAAAGCTTCTTCCATTAAGATTTAAATTCCATTAAGATATAAATAGCTCATAATTCGTTAATACTAAATTATCATATGCGTTTTATATTTAAGCGTTTCTTTAATCTACGGTTCTGTATTTTTAAGCGTGCTTCAACATTTTTATGCCACCAAGGAAGCCAAGAAGATAGCAAACGTGAAACGAATTACACTTCAACCGTAACATTCTTTCTATTGTTGAGATCACTCAAATCTTTAATTCGCTCAAATTATGATCTTTAAATCTTATGCATCCTTAAAGTAACACATTATAACAAAAGGCAAAAGACAAAATTATTTTAATTACATTTAATGTGAAATATGTATTAAAAATTAAAACTCATTATAAATTATTATTTAACTGAGAAGACTTATTATAAGGTGTTACTTTTACAACATATTTAATTCCCAAGTCTTAAACTTACTTTAATTTTAATCATTTTTTAACATCTTGATCGTTCATTATAATAAGGAATTGGGACTTTCTTATCACATCCTGTAGAATTCATTACATTATTTAATCTCAGCATCACTAATGAATATAACTTTTGTTTCTGACTCGAACGCTGCTTGCATTGAGAGCCATACATATATATCTAATAAACATTGCAGCATCTAAAAGGCAATAAGTAATTGGAATAATCTCTCTCTTCATTATTAGTATGTACTTCTACAGCTTTCATAAGAACGTTCGTTTTAATATGATGATAAATTAAAAATTTAATTTATATTAAAATATTTTTAGCAAATAATATACGTCGTAGTACAAAACAATGCAACAACATATTCAATGCTTGAAAGTGCCCAGCGCAAATTGTGAAGTTAAAAGTAACTAAACGTTCTGCTTATTTTCTTCTAGCATACTGCTTCTGAAGGAACGCTATTGTGACTCTTGGCATTTTTGAATCTAGTCTTCACAAAAATGTGTGCACAGGGCACAAAAATGATTAATAAAGAATTAAGAAATTCGCACTTATAGATCCTGATAGACATCATTAAGTTTCTAACAGACATCACTCTGTTTCTCTAAAAATTACTCCTCATCATTCTCTCAATCAAAAATCAATAAGAATCAAAGTATTCCCTTGTTTCACTACTTTACATAATTGACTTTTTAAAAAATATTTAAAAACGCTTCCTTGTACGCCCATTGTTTACCAATTCTTTGTTCATTTGATATTGATAGATTTTGTAAAAAATTATAATGTTGCAAGTATAAGGCCTTCGATGGCACTTCATTATTCTTTTTTCTTCCGATTACTTTTTGTTTCTTTTACTTGTTTTACTACTTTTTTTTATTTTGTGTTTGTTTTAAAAACCCCAGTTAATAATACTGATTGATAATTAACTAAAATCTTGTATAAATATATAAGCACAACTGAGAAATACCTCTTGAAAATAAAAAATCTTTTCATAACATAATCATTATATAGACGTATTAACTCTTTCCGGCCGTATGTTTACTCTTAATTAATCCGTCAACTAGTATATACCTTAATGCGAGCGATAGATCTTTATTTTTTCTTTATAAGTAAGGCAATTAATACACTCGAGCGATAATAAAACATAAAAAATACAGTAGGAATAGAAAGTACCCGTACACCAATCAATTTTAAACAGAGCTTTATGAAATTGTCGTTTATTAACTAATTTTTTATAAACAAAGAATTATGGATATATTGTTCATATTTATTTTTTTTTTTTTTTTTTTTCAAATGGATTATCTATCCATGTGCTAACGATGCCTATCGTTTTTTGTCTTTAGTGATCTAACAGAAACTAGTATTCCAACGTGTCTAGGCCGTTGACTATTATTCCTTGTTATAAAAATTTAGTTAATAAACAATAATTTCACAAAACCATGTGTAAAATTGATCAGTGTACAAATATTTTCTACACCTACTGTAGAAAAAACTGGTGCAAGGCTTTTTTTATCCCACTCCTGATAATTGTAAGGAAAAGGCTTCTAAAACACAAATAATCTAAGCTCTACTATTTAATTCTAAATTATTCTAAGGATAGATATTTCACGAGGCAATGATTATCCTTTCTTTGTTTTAGTTCTCAGAACTTTTAAGTCTTGCTTTCCCCATCATGTTTTCTTTCTTGGTGATATGACCCACACACGCGCACACACAACACACAACTACTGTAAGGCCTACACCTATCTACTACGAAGGCATATTATCCTATAAACCCTTGCAACACAGAAAATAAAGAGCAATCGGTCTCCTCAAGTCTTACAATGAAAATAAAAATATTATTGCTAATCAATTTACTGTTTGAAAAGATATCATGCACGAAGATTAACCACAGTAAATTTTTCTATGGGTTCTAGGGTTATAGAAACTAATATTTCTGTTTGTTTTATGAAACCTACAGATTTTTCCAAATTATTTACAAATTCATTGCTTGAAAAAATGGTATTAGAAACAAACAAATATGCCGAAAATAAAGTAAAAGATCTCAGTTTATCTAAACAATCCGTATGGAATAACTAGCAAAAATACGACCGGAAAATATTTAAACATAGTGGGTAAATTGGTCACATTATTAATCACATTATCCCCTATCTCATATCTAGATAATATTTCCCAATATATGATATTCCATTTCTTATAACGCCCTTCTATTCAATTATTGTGCTTCACTTATAGCTTACCCGAATAGAGACCAAAAACCAATAAGTCCTGAATTCTACCACACCTGGTATTATCAACAAAGCCCCAAATTTTCTAGTCGTTTCTATATTTTTCTCCTATCACTCATTGATAAAGTATAATAACTGATTATTTGAGTTTATGTCATTTTGGAAAAGAAATCTTATTTAGATGACTCAATATGATAAACTTTTCCAGATCTTAAAATTTACATACAATCAGGGTCCAAACATATCTTATCATGACTATATTATGTCTAGTAGTTGCTCAAGTGCAATCACTTATTATACCTATTTTGATAGTTTGTGTTACGTTACTAACGTTTGCTACTAATCGAATAATGAATCGCACATGAACATAATATTTTCAATATTGTACAAAATTTTATTTGCTTCATGTTGCGCTTCATTAAATCTCTATCACGTAAAACGCAATATATACGTTCTTGGAGAGAATGATAAATAACGATGTGCAACAATTAGTCGCCGTGACTGAGCTACGAATAACTCACCATATATACTACACATTTCATGCGAGAGTGCGTCTCAAAAGGTTAATATCATCGATACTAACTTTTGCAGGCTATCTTAGTTCAGACAGCGTCAGTAAATGTGTGTATTTAATTGGAAGCTGATTATGTGCCACATAAAGATAAAAAATAAAAATAAAGACAATAAAAAAAAGAAATATTAAAAGTGATAACTAAAAAATGAAATACATAGAACTGGTGCATTTATACATTTTCAAAAATGAAATTGCTTAAATATTGAAAACAAATTATCATTTTACCTATATCGCACATATAGATAAACGTCTCTTCAATGTATTTAATATGCTGTGTGATTTTAACTCCCAATTAGTTTTCATAATTATTGCAAACTGTGACATTAGATTTAGACTTTAAAACAAAATTATGCCATATATAAAAATGGCAATTTGTTATTAGTTAGATGTGGCACAATGTGATTTATGACATTATAAGGATTACTTAACAAATTGTTTCCTCGTAAGTATCAGTTATCACTTTCAATCTTATTCTAGTAAATCACTCTAACTCACTTTGCTATTTACTAGCAATTAATATTTACACAATGTCTACGCCCAATCGTTTGAGTGCCACCAAGCGGCGCGATAGCGCTCTTCTTTTCAGTGTCTAAAGTTACCAATATACCAGACTGCTGTAGCAGAAAATAACAGTTTAAGTATAATGTATAATATAACATTTAGATTACGTTCTTATAATATAAAGTGCAATATAATCACGCTGTTTGGAATTTTTTGACACAGAATGAAACAAGCGCTATCGCATTTTTCGATCGGATTTTTGCCAAAATCCGTGGCACTTAAACTATTAATAATTAATTTTCCAAATCATTCTCCAAACGCATCTATTCAAACTTCATAACTTGAGGTGGCCAATTTTTTTTTTAAATTTTTATACATTAATGATTTTTTAGTAGGTCCCAGAGGTTCGCACTCTAAAGCTGCTCTTTCTGACGCTGCCTGGACTCTTATTCTCTATACAATTTTTATACAATTCTTTTCTCCCATTTTTATTCTATTTGATTTTTTTTTTTAGTTATGATTATTTTTACGATACCTCACATCTTTTCTAATGTATTTGAATGATCCGTACCTTATAATTGCCTTGTAATTTCCTAATGAAGTCCAATTAAATTACGTTTAATCTTTAATCGAGCTTAAATCTTCTCTTCTTCTTCTTTATATTTTTACTCGCTGTAACTCACTAATGCTTAACATAATTATACTCATATGTTAGCTATATCAGAAATTTCATTAATTGGAATCTACTAGTATTTTCACAATTATTGATATTTCGACTTCACTACAAATGATATTTAAACGTCTTAACAACATCGCTTTAAGCGATTTATATAATTATAATCGAAAATGTTGATTCCATGGAGTTGAGCTTATAATGTACAAACGTAAGACAGTTCATGGACGTAATACCTATTATAAGTTGAATCGTTTATTTAAATCGTATCCTTTTTTTTTAAATCGTATCGAAACTTCGTCGTGCAACAACCAATTGGTTAAGCTGCAAATCGCTGCATTTTAATACGAATATCTGTTCGTACTTGATCCGCATCTTTTAATACGAATATCTGTTCGTACTTGATCCGCATCTTTTAATACGAATATCTGTTCGTGCTTGATCCGCATCTTTTAAAACTTATTTTCTAAACTATTTTCATGAAACTCTAAGTGAAAACTCATAATACAGATCTTTCACTTTTATACTGTGTTTGTTATTATGGAGTGTTCGCTCACGCCGAATAGGCTTATTATAATTATAAAAGTAAAAAAAAATTGACCACTCAAGAAGATCATTCAACATTTTTCAGTAACCTGTTATGATTATCTATATGATCATTACCAGATATGATAATTACCAATTTTGAAGCCCTCAAATGCTATGTTTAAAAAACAACATAAGGCGTTGTTTTTTTCCTATGGTGTTTTTATCTATGGTGTTTTTATCTATGATGTTTTAAAAAAAGACAATTATGCAAAATACATAACCCTCTTTGTGTCCGCGTGAACCGTAATTGCTCGTGCCATTGCACCTGGTGTCCTATCTTCACTACACCCTGATTGATGAGATCCTTCCCCACTATAAATACATATTATGAAACATTAATTATTTATATATATAACTTATACTTATTTACTATTATAATATAATAATTATTTAATATAAATTTACCTATCATGTTCTTTTTCTACTAAATGATATCTTGCTCTAAATGCCACAAGATGGGCATAATAAGCAGGTGCCGGTATACTAACAGATCTAGTACATCTTACATACGTATGACATAACTGATACGTAAGACACTGTAATTCATCACTTTCAAAGTGATTGTCATCCCACAGAACATGATAATGAGACGGCCTAGATGTTCCCTGAAATGAAATATAATTATTATATAATTATAAGGATCGCTAAAATTCATAAATCCGACTTCTGACCACACGAGACTGCAACAAGCTCTTAAACGCACAATATACTATGAAACATTACACAATATTATATAACACATTGTACATTTTATAAGTAACGACATATATCACGTAATATTAACTCACCTGAATACCTTGGTGACTGCAGAGATAAAAATCAAATTCTGTTGGGTGAGTTATACAAACGTCAACCGTTGTACCAGCTGGAATATTACCACTTTTTCCACTCTGTTCTTTTTTATCTGCACAGAACAAACGAGTGTGATGTCTTTTTTGTACTACGATGAAAGTAATGCCAGGCCTATAATCAGCTTCTAGTTTAATGCAAGCTTCGCGAATGGCAGTTAATTCATGTTGTAAAACGTGTAGAAATTGTCCTTCCGATACTCCATCGCGATAAAGAATTATTCTATGTGGTTTATATCCCCCTGTACTCTTATAAAACATTACCAATAGTTCCCTAAAAGAAAGTAATCTTATGTTAGTAATGTATTATGAAAATATATTAACGAATGTAAAATTGTTCATTGTTTATAATGTTGACTTACCATTAAAATGGTAAGGATGGCTAATTATATTTTTGATAATTTTGTAAAAGCTTTATATGAATGAAGAATGTTAAATTTAAAGAAAGAGGTTGATTATAAACAATAAACAATTTCATAATCGTTTTTAAATTTTCATAACTCTAATTTCAATAAAATTTTTATAATATAGTATTGAAAGCACTATACCATATAACTTACCTGACCATTGAACTGAGTTCTTGTATAATTTCTTGCCGATGTTGTTGTACTCTAACTGTAGCTGCATATCTAGACGGATGAGCATCCATACTTCCTACGACAGCAGCTATACTGGGTTTTTTATTATCTCCAGCAGGAGGATGAGTTACATCCGCTCCAAGAAATATAACAGGCTCATTAAAAACTTTTGGTCTTATACTTGGTACTAGAATGCTATTGATACCACCTAATTTTACATTAATCTTCAGACATAAATTAGACAAAGTTTGAGGAGAAGTCTTATTAACATTTTTTGCCTGTACACATTGAGTTGCCATTCCTAGTAAAGTATCTCCAACTCGTTTTACTTCAGCTACAAACAAATTTTTAATAAAGGAAAATGTACATGTTCGATGAATATATTTATTTAATCATTATCATAATTACCATACACAGGAGTTTTCCCAGGTAGTACCACACACACTAGTTGTAATGCTTTGAAAGTTGCTTTTAAATATCGAAACATAGGCTCTACTTGATCTGGCCCAGTAGCGTATTTGCAGAAACATGGTTGTCCAACAATAGGCATACCAGCATCGTTACTGATTTTTTGCAATTGTGTAGTAAATGTACGTAATGCATCTTCTCGTACTGTTCTTTGTGGAGCAAAACAAGCTATTGCCCAAACTCTTATTTCAACTCCTGTGAAGAATTGTTTGCCTCGCATATCCCAAACACCTTGATTGGGCATTGCTTGTTGCTTCGTCTTTAATAGTAAAAACAAAAATTATTGTAAGAGATTAAATTGTATTTGTGTTCAGAGTGAATATACAAAAATACTAAGAGGATAATAGCACCAGTTTTAATGTCAATCTTTTTAATTGGGAGGGAACTAGCAACTCGAAACGATTATTAATACAAATAAGGGTATAAAGATATTATAGTTTCCAATTTTATATAATTATTTCTACATCTTAAAAAATACAAGAGCATTTTTACTATGATTATCTAAAAAGTGGTACTAACATATATACCGAATCTTATCATGATTAGGAAGAACCCCGAGAGTTCCCCTTATTAAAAAAAACCGCACTGACTAATTGTTAACTGTACTACATAAATCTTACTTTCATAAAAATGAAATTTTCGGGAGTATGAAACAGTCTTTATAAATATTTGATTTGTCTAGACCTAACTGATTAAAATTTATATTTCTCACGTTTCTCACCTGTCCACTGATGGAACTTACGCGCCCTCCGTACTGTAACTTGGGTGGAGGTAGTACACGTCCTCGAACTTCCATCATGTTGTTTGATATACTCAACCCAAACTCTTGAACATAAGAATCATTGTTGAAGTCAGCCCGCCTAACTAAATTATTAATTTCTCTTTCACGATCCGGCGCTGAACGTGCCGTTGCTTTTATCATAGTAGATGTTTGCATGTCAGTTAATTTTTTTATACAACGTTGTCCAGCTACAATATTACATACCTAACACAATAAATTAATATTTAGCTCTGGCGTTTCTTATATATTTAAATCTCTTATTATATTCCGATTGCCTTAATTTTTAATCTTGTTGTTATATTTCCATATCCTTATTCTTTAAAATTTTATATAATTAACTAACCTCAAGCGGTAAGTAAGTATGTTTATGTTCTTGTCCTACTTGCAAACAAGGAAGATGCGAATAACGCAATTTCATCTTGTATTTGTCCAAAAAATATTTTGCAACAGTACACTCAACTGTTTGTCCATTTTCCAATTGTAACGGAAATCTTAGATAAATAATTTTATATATAAATTTTTATAAAATAACATATAAATAATTCTAATCTTCCATTTGACTCTACTTACGATTGCATTTGTGCTGGTTTACGTGTAACATTACATACTCTATATTTTCGTCTCATAGTCCCACAATGAGTTATTTCTATCTTGAGCCCTTTAATTTCTTTGGTAAATTTAACTCGTTGTGAATCTGTCAATGGTTTTCTCTGTTCGTTTACATCTCTAATGTCTAATACTTCACACATAAATTCTATTACCGGTTGTGCTTTATAAAATGCAGTTGCAGAAACTGAAATGCAATTACAGAATATATAAAATATATCAAAAGTTATTAAATTTTTTTACTTCTACTTTTAATACTGAAGAATTCTAATATTAAAATCATAAATAACATACCATCAATGTTTAACATCATTTTCCATTGCGATGGCCTAACAGATTGATGAAAACCAAACCATACTTCTCTGCCTCCACCTAATGGATGATAATATCCATCTGGACTACTAAAAAATGATCTTCCAACCGGTGTGTAAGTCATTGATGGTAAATGCCTCATCACAACATCTAATGCAAGTATAGCGTCATATGGAATTTGTCTTGTACGCCCTTCAAGTGCTTCTTCTAAGGCAAATAATGAAACTTGAGCTACCCATTTTATCACAACTCTGAAAACTCGATCTTTACCCTCACCAGGCAGTGTTACCTATATTTGCAAAATATTGTATTATATATTTGACAAGGACAGCATTAGAAAAGTTCAATAAATGAAAAATTACCTCTAAGTCTATTTTGTCAGTTCCGATAGGTAAAGGGTCTCTTGTATACAAGTTATTTCGTCCATCAAACACAGGCTTAAGAGTTCCAAAAATTTTACTATATGCATGAACCATTGTTTCTATGATTTCTCTATTAACTTTACGAGGGCATTTATCAGGTTGTATATTGATTTCATAATGGTGTACATAACCTCGTGGCATTGTAATTTGAAAATGATTTGCTCTTAATCCAATCGGTCTACCTTCGCGTCCTATGTTGGGCCTTCGTGGGCATGAAAACACTGTCAAATTAAAATTTTCACTTTAACAATATTTTATACATTTATTATAGGAGTATACATTATAGATAATATAGAGATACATAGAGATTTTAAGTTTACATAATTATATTCCTATTATTTATGAAAAACAAATCCTCTTACTTGGCAGTTCTGGAGGTTGAGGTGGAGTATGTGTTTGTTGTGTGGGGACCAGCCCCAGAGAACTTGGAGTAACAACATTGCTCCCAGTTGCTCCGGCTGTTCCAACGGAAGTGCTGGTTGTTGGTCCAGGTGGGGGGGCTAGAAATGTTTTAAAATGCACATGAAAACACCATTAATTTATCAAATATAGTTCACAAATTAATAAATAAATTACACAAAAATACAAAACCAAAAGAAAATACAAAATACACCTATTTAATGGCAAATTGCAAACAATTATTTTCTCTGTTAATGTAAAATGTTTAAACACAAATATTATTCAATCATTTTTAACAAATAAAATACAAACGATAGATGACACAATAGCTACATGAGACAATGATAACAAAAAACAATCATATAATACTATGATCAAAATAACATAAATACCTTATAAGTTAAATGCAATAATGAAATTATTCCTATGGAAAGAATTGATTTCTTTCATAGAAAAGACTATAATAATACAAAATATAAAATAAGCAGTCGTTATAAGATAATATTAAACAATAAATTTATAAATAAAAGATTTTTGACAGGTAGTATACCATTTTCATTAGATGCATATTATCTACTATAGATATGTGATATGATGAATCAAATGCAATATACGACACGTCGTGCCTGTTGAACTAGGTTTATTAGAGAAAAACCATTATCGTAATTTGACATTCAATTTATATACGTGGATCCATTGCTAATCAAATTTTAGTAGTATAGATCAACGTGCCACTAATCACAAACATTTTTGACCTTTTATTTTTTGTTTTTTTTTTTGTTATTAACATGGAATAAAGAATAAGAAATCACTTGAGCGATATTCTAATATCGACCTAGCAAATGGAGTAGATCTATTTAATAGCTTTTTCGAGCATATTAAAGTAAGCATATAGCAATAATATACTTACGCTGTCCTACGGGGTACATAGTTACAGCCGTTGATTAAAAATACCAGTTAATCACTAATAAATAAGTAAAAAATTCAACATAAAACCCACTGGCCGAACAACTCCATTTCCCCTCGACCACATAGTATGAAAGACTACCTTCAATTCACGGTTGCCAACTCTTTAGTGCCAACTGTTTTAATACAACTAATTGGTGGCTATGCGCGGCCAATCCGCGCTCTTATTTTAAATTTGCGACCAGGTGAATAAAACGAATACATTAATTCGAAATATTCTATTTGGTCAATATAAAAATTTATTGTTTCATCTTTAGCTACTTTACATGTACACAATATTTTATATTTTACGTAATTAATTAACTTTCTAAATGTTATATTTAAATATTCAACATCGATGAATGCAATAATAACCAATAAATATATTCACTTTTAGTAATATCTACTTATCAACATGGTAATAGAGTTTAAGACAATCCAAAGGTTATCACGTAATATGACACGAATATTTTAAAAGTTATTATACACACGAATATAATAATTTAATAAAAATCACAATACAACGTATTATGAAAACATACTTTTTCCCCTTGCGGCATTATTAATTCATACCTTAAATGTGCAAGTATTAGGTCATTAAATATGAACATCTGATTAGACCCAGTTCAAAATTTGAAGTTCCTGTTATATTTGTAATTCACATATGCGTTGAGGCGTGGACTTGTTCTGTATATAGCTGATAATAGAAGAAACCTGTAAGGGTAGTAAAAGAGCAAAAGATGTTCGCTTGCTCTATCTTACTTAGCTTTTAATTCTTTTTATGACATAGTGAACGAATTTTTATATTTACAGTGAATATACTGTAGTTTGAAGATTGTTGTTCTGAAGAAGAAGGCACACCAATCCAAATATGTAACTAGGATATTCTTGAAATCCGAAAAATAGTTTCTTGGCAGCATAATTTTCATTCAAAACTAATAATGGGAAAAATATGTTTCACAGTTATTCTTCAATTTAAAAAAAAAGAAAAGAAAAAAATTAATTACAGTGTCCATACCAATATTTTACCGATCGTTAGATTTCTGCTAATGAATAAAAGTATGTACGTGTGATATAAAATTATCAAACACGAATAGATTCCTTTAAAATTCGTATCCCTTCCTAGTTTTCTTCTCGGCTAAGCACATTACAACGTAAGTACACTACATATATATGTTGTGTAAAGTCGATTTTTTCTTTTTTTCCCTTTACTATGGTGTATATTAGACTAACTACGCTTACACTTGCTTCCCACTACACTTTAAATGGCTGAATTACTACTAACTCCACCTGATGGCGAAGTAGAAAACTTCATACAAAAATATTCCCTATACTTGATCGATTGTATCCTACATATTGGTAGCATTGATATAGTAATTTTTATTTTAGAAGATATTCGAAGAACCTAACCGTGCAAGTTATTAACGATAAAATGGTGTGATACGTTTTGTTAGTTGTGTATGTAATAGCGTATTATATTGTCTGCAAAATGTCGGTTCCTTATAGCGGAGCGCTTACCCGCTCTCGCGGTTTAATAAGTTCTATTGCTAAAGAAATGAGAACACTTAATTTCAAATTAGTTAATAAGATCGTCGTACAGTTCGATCCCTTTTACGAAAAAGTTACGGAAACGAGGTTAGTAAATCTTGTTATTTTTTTTATTTTTTAACACCATTTAAAATAAAACCGGATTAAATTATTTTGCATTTTTGTACATACATTGTTATCGATGAAAATTTTCAAACAAATAAAAGAAAAATCAAATATCGATAAGTTTCACAAGTCGATATATCGAAAATTTATCGATGTTTTAAACACGAGCTCATATAATAGTTTATTATGAATGATATCAGTTAGAAATTAGTTTCATTTAGATTTTGATGTATTAACTCTTTATATAAACGTGCATATGTATATATACATATATATATGTACGCTGTCCGTAAATCCGTCTGTAGGCGTGTACACGATAAATAAGTCGACGCTTTCCATGCAGACGATTCCAATGACGTCGATAACGCACGCATGCGCATTGTGATTTCGGAGCAGACAGCATACTATACTTCGTTATTTTTAGTAACATATCAGTATCGTTCGAGTGTTTACTTGTACGTGATAAAAGAAGGTAAAATAGTAAAATTCTAAAGAAATAATTATAAATGTTCTTATATATGTGTAAAGAGTAAAAAAAAACATATGTGTATAAAGTGAAACACTTAATTTTTCAATCTGTTATAAAAGTTCATTTAATGGAAGTACGTATGTCATCTATATCTTTAGAATTTCCACTAGTATTTAAGTAATCTTGTAAATGGATAGTTGTAAATTTTGATTTCAGTATATAAAGGTTATTCATTTGCATTTGCCATTATTTTCAAATTTTATAACGTCAAATAATAATATTATATATTTCTTGAAAACTATACTTATTTAATATTTATAAAATAATATTATTTAATATTTTGATTATAATCTTTTAACTTACCACTACATTGTCCACATCCGTACGCTTTACCAAGCATAGAAACTGCCGTTGTTATGCGAAGAGTACTTAAATCCGGCATTGGTATGGGTAGTTGCTGCTCCATTTGAGCCATGATGCTCCTATAACATAATATTTCGTTATATTTACGTGTATTTTATATCTTATTATCATATTAGTTTCAATTTTCTTCATATATTTTGTGTGATCAATTTTACTAATTACAATTAGTAAAAACTTTAAAATGAAATGTAATAAACTGTTAAAATAATTTTTCTTTTTCCGTAGAAAGTTTCTTTTTTATATATCAAGCCCGAAAGTTCAGAAAACAAATCCTCTCTACGCATTAAAAACCAAAATTGTCTGCGATCAATCTGAGCCTATCATTACATTTGATCTTAGTGAGTATTAGACAAAAAAATTATATGAAAATATAATTTCTTCTTTTCAATACAAATAATCAACGTTATTTATAAATTTGCCTATATTTTTCAGCATCAGGAAACAAAGTAATATTCAAGTGTGGAAATTTGAATGCTTTGAATATTTTACAATATTGCAACAAGCATATCAGTTCTTTAGTTCCACCTCCTGAAAAGACTCCTAAAGAAATATTGCTTGAGGAGAAAGAGAAACAGAGAAAGAAGAAATGGAAGAAAATAAAACCATTTTCTAAAAGAAGAGGTGTATTTTATTAAAATTATAATTGAATTAAGCCAGAGAATATTGACAAAAAAGTCTTGTAAATCATTTGATTATATTCAAACTTTATTGAATATTTTATGAAAGGAAATGTTTAATTAGAAAATAAAATAAATAGAAGAGAAAGCAAGCGGAGAAAAAATATTATCACTTCATTAAGACATCGATCAAGTTTTATCCTATTTTTCTTTGCTTTAATGAAATCAAAAATAATTCAAACAACCTACATTGTCAATTCATAAGAGAAATAGTAATCGTGTATTTACTGCAAAGAATTTTTCATTTTTAATTCTTAATATATTATTTAATATATTAAACATATAAAGCTGGATATATATATTTATATATATATAAATGATTAAATAACTTCACCATAAAGATAATTACTTGCAATATTAGAAATTTTGTAGAAACACTTATTAAAAATTAAAGCTTGTCTATTTCTTAAAATCTTGGTATATAATATCTCGTATATAAAATAAAAGTTACATTTCAATTTTTACTTTAATTATATTAAAAATATATTCGATTAAAACTACAACACATCTATCTATTTCACATTGTATAAAGTATTCTACAAAAAAAAAAATCTTTTCACCATGGCGAGCCATGCTTCGACTAGCAAAAATTATAATATGAAAGTAATCGATACCCTTTACAATAAAATACCAGCTTTTACTGATCTATTTGACGAAGAAACATGGTATACTTTTGTTGCTTGTTTCGTAGCAGGCACTTTTATAATTGCATTTATACTTTCAAGATTTATTACATTACACCCAGTCGATTAAAAAATTCATTCTAATCTAATGTTATATTCTTATTCATGCTTTAAAAAATATGTAATATAAATAAACGAATATGTAATACCGCATCAAATAAATGTGGCAATAAAATCTTTGTATCTATATCATATATTTATAAAGATTGCAAAGTTTTTCATACTCTTTTATTGTTTTGCTTTCCATACAAGAATGGGAATTATTTTTGTTAGAATTATTTAGAATATTTCATCTTATTTATTCCTTTTTCTACTTTATTAACTGAAAATATTTTATATTCTGTATCCCATAAGAATCAATAATCCAATGATATTCTAATATAATACAACATTCTAAAAAATAAGAAACATTAGATGTGCCTTAATGCTATCATTAATATTATAAAAAGAACCAGTTTTCTCAATTATTTAATAGTAACGGAAATATTTAATGATATCCATTTAAAAAATGGTATAAAATAGAATAATAAAAAATTACAGTTTCCTATAGTATCCATACATCAAAGGATATAATTAATTTTTAAATTAGAATAGAATAAAACAACAATAACTTTCCCTTTAATTATTTCCTTGATCAAATATATCTGTGCTGTTGTGTTACAATGCTATTATAGATCTCAATTTAATTTTGTTTCACGCATGCGCAAATATCTCATAATCGTTCCAATACATCTTTATTATTCTATTGAATAACTCTTAACACACATTTGAAATAATAATATACATAAGAAGTTTACTATTTTTTTTTTTTTTAAACTATAATAAAAGATTGTCATTTTGATTTGAAAAAGTAAGCAGAAAAGAAGAAGAAAAAAAAAAAGAAATATCTAAATATGAAATAATAATAATAATAAACAGACGATAAGAGCATATTCTTTTTTAATAAATGTAATGAACAAGGCAAGCAAAACAAAAGCTACTTATTAATATTAGAATAATTAAGTGTATTTGTGCTGCCATCTAACAGCGAAGAACAGAAGCATTTCAAAGAGATGGCGGAAGTTAAGAGCACGTGCATGTTACATTATTTTTATTTTCTGCCTTTGTGCAATTCAATATTATAAAAAAAGACGCGACAAAGATGGTTTCGTGAGTTTCGCTACCGAATAATCCAAATTTAATATTTCTTTTTGTTATATTTTTTCCCTATCTTTATCTTTTTTAAACTTTTAGCTTCGTAACTGTGCCCGAGTGATTATCATAATCGTGTGTGTACAAATAGAACTATACTTACATATATGGCCACCTGATGTACATTCTTCTCTTTTAAGGAAAAATAAAGGTAATAAACACACGCGTACACGAGAAAAAAAGAATGAAAAATGAATAGCAGCAAAGACGCATGAAATAAAAGCCTCACCAAGAGAAAGAAATAATTCTAAGTAGAAAAAAAGAGCGGGAGAAGTATTCAACACACACAACGATAGGAAACTTCCTCTTTATGGGATGATGAAATCACGAAAATATTCGATGAATGTTTTAACTAATTAGCATGTCTAATAATACTTTAGACCAACCAAAATTTCTACTTTAAAATGCATTCACAAAAGCGACGTTATTTAATCGCGGTTATACTTATAATTAAATAAAAATCATGATCGATATTTTTAGTGTATCATCAGGTCTAACAGGACACTACACACTGCAAACATGGTTGACACGTTGAAAGAGGGCATACACATGCACAATCATAAAGATTTTGTTTTCTATCGATTTTTATACATTCAAAATTATCTTCAATGTCTTTAACAAACGTTGATAATCGACGATGTAGATTAAATTATATCAATTTGGTGACGTAGATTGTAAATATATATTATAATACATATTGTAAATATATATATATATATAATATAAAATTTTAAATTATTCGAAACACGTTTATCGATCGTATGTGAAAGGACCTTTATAGTAAAAAAAAATAAAAAATAAATATGTGTGCGAAAGGACACACGCACGTACATATTAAACTTTACGAACACGACGTAGAATCATGACAAAGTGAACACAATGAACGAACATTATATCCATAAAAGTATATATATGTTTGTAGTATGTAAACATGTAATATATGTATACAATATAAATACACATTCAGTTTCGCGAAGGAAGATGCGTTGCGTTTTCAAAAAGTATGTGTTTTTTTTTTCCTTTGGTATATACCATCGCGTGTGTTATGTATGTGTATGTTAAAATCGATCCTTGACGAAGAGAGAGAGAGAGAAAGGGGTCCAATTTTTTTTAGCAATTTTACTCCTCGAAAAGAAATATACTTTTATATTGAGAATCTTCAATTACCGTAAAGAAAATTTGCAAGCTTTGAGAAAGAGTTTCGAGTATCTTTTCTTTTTGTTTTTTTTTTCTTTTCTTAATTTTATTTTTTCATTCTCGCGTGTCTCGAGTAATTTTCGACGATTCTTAACGGGGAAAAAAATGATAAAAGAGAGAAGAAGAATAAGAAAAGAAGAAAATACCAACTTGAGAGTGAATAATTTTCTCGTCGAATACAAAATATCGAACAAAAGTTTTATAAGCGTATATTCAATATTTCTTACAAGATATTTTATAGAGAAATCTGTAAATCAATTATAATATTATATACGTTTTGAGATAATTTTATTCTTTTTTGTTTGTCACATATATCCTTCTCAAGTCTAATGTTAAATTATAAACTATCAAGAAAATTAAATAGATTACAAATACCTGGTAAACAAATTTGAAAATTTTGTAATTCGTTAAAGTAACTCTTTTAGGAAGATTTGTATTTTACAAAAAAAAAAAAGAAAAAATAATGCATATAAATCTTTGACCTTAAAGCAACATATCGAAAAATATCTACACATTACGTAAGAAACTGAAATAAAAAATAAGCTCCTACTAATTCTTCTTCTTCTTCTTCTTCTCTTGATACAACTAGAAATATTTTAACCTACATTTGAAGTCGCTCGAAAGTAAGAAAGAAACGGATATGCTTTAAAAGAGCAAGAAGGAAGTACATAACATATACCCATACATATATATCATATAATACCACGCATACAGGTGTTCAAGAGGAAAACTCGACTTACTTACTTACGTGCCTATTTGCTATCGTTTGAAAATAAAATAGGAACGATAACCGCAAGAATAACGGAATGACGAGTTTTGTAAAATAAAAGTTTACATATAAAGTGTACGTGTATAGCGTATAATTATTAGGGAATACATATGCATACATACATATATACATACATAAAAACATATGTACATATTTAAATTTTAAATAGAAGAAGATGATGAGGAAACGATTAAAAATTATAATTAAAAAAAAAAAGAAAATGTAAAAACTCACCTTTGATATATTTTCTTCTGGCTTTATCCGTAAAACGTTTCTTGACTTGTGTGTCGTTTTTTTATGCAACACGACGACGACGTGATTGATGAATAACTTTTTTCACAGTAGAATAACGCGTACATACATTATTATCGATGGAGTAGAAGAGACGCGCGCGTGGTTTCCTCGCTCGCGCCTACTATTATATCTATTTTATCCTCACGTTATACTTTTTCTCTCTTTTTCTTTTTTACATTTATTTTTGGTTCTTGATGATACTGTCTATTTTTTTATTTCTTTCTTCTTCCCGTTCTTCTCCTAGCATTGGGGGAGAGGAATCGTCTCTTCTTCTATATTTTTTCTCACTTTCACACGTGCCAAGTTACATATTTTTCTTTTCAATTTTTGTCACATTTGAAACTAAATAAGAGAAAAATAATGATAGAAAGAAATACTTATAGAGAAAGAGAAGAAGAAGAAGAAGAAGAAGAAGAAGAAGGAAGGATAGGAAGGAATAAGTAGGGGGAAGTGGGTGGGGAAAGGGAATAAAGAAAACGGAGGAAGTAAAAAAACTACATTGTTGCACTCGCGTGAAGGACCGTAAAGACGTATGATTCACTCGGGGAAATAAAATGTTTAGAGAACAAATAGATGCGGAAGAGGTTAAAGAAGGAGATTAGAAAACAACAAAAAAAGAAACAAAAAGGGGGAAAAAAAATAAAGAAATTATTTTCTAACTAACGGTGTGTGTTAGTTACGCGAACGTCAGTTAGTTATCACATGTGACGATGGTAAACCCCGATGTGGTACTGTGAACTCGACACAAGATGTATAAAACAACAAGTTGACAACGTTTACGTCGCAGATAACGACGGATAATAATGATGACGACGACAACACAACAACCGACGACGAAGAAGACGAAAACGACGATCAGTAGTAGTAGCAGAAGCAATACCACACTACTACTACCACTACACTATTATATCCATAATATCACTAGCAGAACACCACGCACAACGTATTTCTACGTAGTAGTTCTGACCGTGAATGAACGACGAACGGTGGTTTGAGCGCGCGCGCGCGCGCGCGCAACCAACCAGGCAAGCTCTTTTCTTTTCTTCTTCTTCTTTCTCTTTTCTTTTCTTTCTTCTTCTTCTTCCGGAATCTTTTTACGTGTTTTCTTTCTCACTTTGATCCATCTTGACATATATATTTTCTTTCTTTATTACACATTTTCTTTTTCCCTCTTCACTTATCCGAGACCCCGCCGCCGTCAATGGTCGTGGAAACTGAAAATCAAAATAAAATTCGTTATTTCATTATATTACATACTACACATATATATATATCTTTCATCATTGCTTCGATCGAGTTTATATGAACGAAATGTTTTTTGATTTACTTTATTTTCATAATATTTTGTTAGATATCATTTGAATTAAATTTTTCCTTTTATATTATATAGATTGTGTCAATGAGAGATATCAATTTTTTTTTCAAATCGATACGATAAGTTAAAAGGGACAACTCTAATCAGGAGAATCATTGAGATTTGTTTGCTTTTCGATGATCCGTGTGTGTGATAGAAAGACTCCTCGAACGTTTTTCCACTCGAATCGCAAAGCATTCGATCGAAAACACACACACATACACACCTTTGTCTTATCCGAGTTTTTTTTTTTTTATTGATTGATAAAGTTTTCATTTATTTTTTTTTTTCTTTTTTGGAGCCGAGGAAATGTACGTGTGACAAGATCAAGACCGATATTTTTCTAATGATATTAATGACGATGGCGATGATGATGATTATTATTATTATTTTTATTATTATTATTAATCGAAAGCAAACTTGTAAAACAATTTAGATAATTTTCTCAATAAAACGAAGAGATTACAACACATGATGCATCTTGTCGCGTCGATAAAACACGATAAATAATCAAAATTTTAAGTTAAACGTTTTGCATACCATAACACGCACTATTTATTTTCTTATTGAACTTGATTGTTTGATAGTAAAAAGAAAACAACTCTTCCAAGGATTAAATCGCGAAAGAGAGAGAAAAAAATGCGTAGCAAATATACCAATTTGATTTCCTTCGTAAAAAAAAGTTGCAGGGATCTCTCGGTTATCTCTCGTCATCGCGATTGGCCGATATCTATTCGATAGGAAAGATACCGTATATTTGTGCGTAGATACATATATATATATCAGTATATATATATACTGTTACGAAGAAGAGAGAAATAATCGAAGAAAAGAGAAGGATGAAAATACTCCACTCGTTCGCGCTCTTTCTCTCTCTCTCACTCTATCTTTTCACTCGTACATCTTCGGAACCGTTCGTTTAAAAAGTTCGGCAAAATTTGGCATTGACTTTGAAGGCGCGCGAATCGGTATTATTTAAACATTGAATTGTGACTCGGTTCTCCCGCCATTTCTAATCGCTTCACGAAAAGGAAACAAAAATTAAAACCAAAGGAAGACGATAAGGTTAAAGTTAAAGAGAAACTAATTTAAAATGAGTAAACGAAAAAATTAAAAAAAAAAAAAAAAAAAAAAAAAAAAAAAAAAAAAAAAAAAAAAAAAATGAACATAATTTTATCGTTATCGTAATCATTGACGTATATTCTAGGGATAACCGAGGTAGAGTAAAGAAGTGGGTCGGTCATGCGGCCGTCGACGTTATTGCGAATCGCTCGACGATGATTCACGCTTCTTGTCGTCTCCTCTTCGACGGCCATCGACCGGGGCACGAACGGAACAAACCTTGTCGAGGTTTAAGAACCTTCATCGACGTCCGTGGAACGACTGACTATTCCGGTGACAATTAGAAATACAAAGATGAACGGTTAACGCATGAGAAAATTTTCCCTCGCGAAAGATCACCAATGATAACAAACACGGTTTACAATTATGAACACGAAACTAAACAATAAAATATACAGAGAAATTTTATTATCCTGCTTATGTCTCCTCGCGCGTGTAACTATTGTACGTATATACATTCATGTACGTATATACAACGATATATATATAAGTTGCATAGAGGATAATCCTTTTCGCGCGTCTTTTTATTTATTCATTTATTTTTTTTACGGAACAGGAAACAAAAAAAGAAAGAGTAAGCGAGCTAAATGTATATATATAAAATATAATAATATATATATATATTTATATATATATAGAGGCAGGAGGAGAGCTGGAAAAGGAAAAGAAAAAGGAGAGAAAGAATGGAAACTTTCACTTGCGAGGCCTTCACCAGAGAGAACAGCAAAAAGAGAGAGAGAGAGAGAGAAAGGGAGGAATATTACGGGAGAGACGGTCGAGAAGAGCGGCACGGGGCCGCCAAAAACGATCACCAAGTGTCAAGGTTGCTATTCTACGCAAGCGAGGTATATATGTGTGTATATGCGTGCGCGTGTATGCGCGTAGGAAAAGGCGCTCGAGCGCGCTTGCTACGTGGTCCGGTGTCGTTCGCGCGCGCGCGACCGAACGCCGTTTGTCCTTTTTTCTCTTTTACTCTCGAGTTAACTCGCTTACTCGGCACGCACGTAGACGGAGCTGTTAGGAAGAGAGAAAGAGGGGGAGAAAAGAGGAGAGAAAGAGAGAGAAAGAGAGATAAAGTGAACCCACGTCTTCGGTCGCGGGTTCCTTCGTCTCTCCCGCCAGGCAGCCTTCCTTCTCTCACTACCACACCATCTACCAATCTCTATAGGTCTCTTTCACTACACCTACCTATGTATATATCTAGCTATCTACAGAGTGGCGCTATCACAACAATGCCATTATCGCGGGGTATCCGTTTCCCTCTGTTACATAGAATGACACCGAACAACCGCGACAACGCGACTCGAATTCAACGAAAAACGGGAAAAATCCGACTGGATTAGCGATCGTCGAGGTACGACCGAGAGACGCGCACAATTCCGACGTAAATTCGACGCGAGAGTTTTTAGTGAAATTCGCCGAACGCTTCGACGATCAACATTTGCGAGTAGGGGATCCCCCACCACGCTACTTGTTCGATTCGAACGATACTACGCGTGCGCGGATCCCTCAGGGGTGTACTCCAAATATGTGCCCCTGCTCTATCGTTTTTGTTACTAGGGCGCCGCTTGTTTACAAACACCGTCACGATAGACGAGGACCGACAACGTTCTTCTCGCGCTCGCAATCCGATGCGCGCTCAATCTTTCGAATAACTTACGTGGCCGCCAAACGTTCATTCTTTTTGCTCCTATCTTTTCTCCCATTACAAATTTTATATTTTCTGTATATATATATACATATATATATGTGTATATATATTTATATCAGACATTATTTCGATACTTAATATTTTATTTCTTTAATGCATAGAATTTTATCATTCATATGGCGTCCGCCATAATACGTTCTTTTTCTTTCCTTTAACCATGATTTACTCCAAATAATAATCTCTTTATATATTGACTTGAATTTACTGATCGAATTAAAAGAAAAAGATATATTGATTATTTGTTAAATGCGAACTCGTTATACTAATGAATTCAAAGCAATCATTGATTAATATGCTGATTAATATTTTTATATAATACTTTAAATAAAACATACCTTACATTTTACATACTTTAAATAAAAGATCCGGTGAATTAATTTGAACTAGAATCGAAATTTCAATTACTACCTTGTATTGATCCGATCCTGAACAATGATATAATCGACTGACCAATGAAGTAGTTTCTTGAATCACATGCGCACCACTTATCATCTCACGCGGTGTTCTACAACATGTTACAAAATTCGAAAATTCATTTTCATGATTTGCAGAATTATAAATCTTTTGTCTTTAAATATATATAGATATTCAATACATTATTGATTAAAACTTATTTTACAATCGAACATTTACTTACATTGTATTTCCACAATCAAAGGTATGGCATGATCATAAATTATATGATATATATCATATATCGATTGTAACATATGACCAATACCGTTGTTGTGCGTGTTAGTTGAAAATGTTTCATTGGTCACCATTTTCCCGCCTTTAAAATGGATTCATTTAAAATGCGATAACTTTATCACAAAAAAATGAATAAGATAAATAATGCATTAACATGTTTCTAATTGATGAAATTTTTTGGAAGACGTATAAGTAATAATCAAATATTTCCATTTATTGATTATTAAATTGTAAATATATACGTATTCTAAATAACAACAGAATATAAGAGAGGGAGAGAGAGAGAAAAAGAGAGAGTGCTTATTAATAAAGTTGGAACTATTTATTAAATTTTCATATATTTGTACAAAAGCAGATATTTAAATGGGTAAATATTAGAAAGTGTAAAGAATAAGTAAATGTTTAGTTAGTGCAAGTAATTCGTAGAAATACAAATTTATGCTTTTAAAATCATAGAAGTTCCTTTAATTAAATATCCCAGAATGTAATCAAATTTAATCGTTGAAGAAACGTTTATTGTACATAATCTCGACTAATACACAACATATATCGAATTTCTGAATCACGAGAGGAAAGTTGAGAACAAAAAAACTGACATAAATAAACGTTTATTGTTTAATCCAAAGGCATGCCATCGTCGTCATCTTCTTTTTTGCCAGGACTATCGCCTGGGGATCGTTTCTTCTCATCTTGTCCCTGTTGCGTTTGTCCTTGCCCGCTCTTAGCTTCCGACTCCAAAGCGGTGACGAACTCTTCGATGTTACCACTGGCGGCTGCATTGATTGCATCAGTTCCCAAGCCAAATTGACGGATGACTGGGCCCGCCTGGCCCGACTGCAAAGCAGACCAGAACATTGATAGCGCCTGGGAGAACTGGGGAGATGATAGCGTTGTACACAGGTTGTCTCCAGGTGGTAAGTGCGTGGAAATAGCATGTTCCAGACTTTCCGTTGTTGTAATCGTTGTTGGGATGGCATTCGTCAGCTCTGTTGCTATGCCCCTCTGCTGGATAATAAGCCGTGGTGTAGCTGAACGAAAGCAACAAACAGTCCCAGAGAAATTCCCCCAACTGCTCAAAAGAGCCAGTGTATCCGAGAGCCAGGAAAAGTTCATATGTAGAATTGTATTAAATAACGAAAATACCATGCCAATGTCCTCTTTTTTTTCTTTTCTTTTTTTAAATGTTATATTCTCAATATGCGTATAATGTCTTAGTTACAAACGATACCGTAGGTTCTCCGACATGAAGAAATTTAAAAAAATGATTAGACCAACCTTTGTGCATAATGATTATTTTGTGATTTTTAAGATATAACACTGTAGTTATTGAACAATTGAAGTAAACAATCGTAACTTCATATCACAGACCAAAGGTATCAAAGTAACACAAATAATGTGTAACATATAAAGCACTTTTCACTAAAAAGATCTCTTTGAATAATGATAATATAAAGGAATGAAACACTGGATAAAACAATATTGATACTATAGTTGTTAGACTGTGTGTCTCTCTCATAGATTATTAAAACCTTACAAAGTCTTGAAAAACGTGAGCAGCATTCTGTAAAATTGTATCGCATGTTGGCTTCTATTCACATATGACTGCTAATAGTATTATCCACAGACAAATATGAACTAAACTAGTTAATGAAATAAATGTGAAACACCACTATACCACTAATACACTATGCATAAAATTTTGCATTAACTGTGCACTCCTAGATTTAAATATCACTAATATATTTTTTTAAACAACATATGCAACGAAATAAAAATATTAATTTTTATATCGTTTTAGTCTATTAGTTATGAAAGAATACTATCAAGGCTTTAAATGCAAAACGGACTATATTTACTAGACAGGTTGTATTATCAAGAATGGCACTTTATATCCCTGATAGTGACAGAGTTGTAAAACAGATATAGTTAATATCAAGATAGATAACTTTTTTGATCAGAGTCACTTAAAACGTTCCATATATATAAATATCTATCTAGGAGCGCGTAAAGCTTTGTAAACAAGCATTCTTAATAAAAATATAACTGTATTAATAAAGAATTCTTAATATTGTACCTATCTATGTGCCTGAAAATATAAATATATTTTTCACAATATCTACACATTTAAATAATAATATTTCTACATATTTAGTCATAGAATAGATTGTACATTTTTTATAGAAATATATAAAGTTGATACTAATTTTTATTAAACTTAGAAAAATAAGTTATATTCAGAAAAACATTAAATTCAAAAAGTAATGGAAAATATATTAGATTAACTTTGACTAAATATGCAAGTCATACTTGTACAAAGATATCAACCTAATAATATAATAATCAAGCTGATAAAGATAAGTATTATGATATTACCTGAACAACAGCTTCTGCTCCAGCCGGTGTTGGTATTTCTGAGAGAAAACTTTGTAAATCGCTCAATTGAATTCCATTATTAGAAGCTGAAGTAGTTACAGGTGTAGATGGTGCTGTTGTTCTTGGCGATGACTTACTATTACCTAAATTATAATTAAACAAATACATTAAAGAAATATATTAAACCTATTTTAATTAAATCATATTTTTATACTCACTGGAAGATTTAGTAGTTTCAGTTACAGTAGAGGGTGCTGGAGTTTGTGACACTGGTGGCCTGGCAATGCTTGTTGTAACTGGTGATGATGCAGTTGTAGTAGATGCTCGAGTACTTTGGATACCATGGGGTCTGCTCATTGTTCCCAATAAGCTACCAAGACCAATTTGTCCTACACCACCAAACAATTGCATTAATTGTTGTTGAGACATATTATTTAACAAATTATGAAAATCTCCATCTGGATTCGTATTGCCACTTCTTTGAGAACCAGGTGTAGGTGGATTATTTAAAACTTCATTAATTTTTCTACAATATTCTTCATCCTTGTCAGTCTTTAAATCCTGTAATATTTACAAACTTTAAATAAAATTATGGGTACAAATTATCAATTGCAATTATTTACCTGTAGCCAAAAGAAGAACTTTCTACTCGATGACTTGAATCGCAACAGATATACTCTACCAGTTTTACATGCTGGTACATGCTTAAATTCACAGTCATCTGGGAAAATAATGAGATCCTGACCAATGATAAAATGGTATTAGGAATAATCATAAAATTATATACAAAATTATATGCAAATATATATACATATAATTTATATTTCTAAGAAATGATTAAAATTTAAAAAATGACATGATAGAAGTCTTACATCCTCTACGATTCCTGTTGTACGATCTTTCCAACAAAAATGCATTAATTGATCGTCAGATTGGTGAACGTAAATCTGTCCCTTTCGTGTATCCGGATAAACCATTTTCCCCTTCATAGTCATTTTTCCTGCTTTGAATTCAACCAAATTTTTTGATGCATTTCGCGAAGGATTATTTCCAAATAGGGGACCCATGTATGTAACTTGTATAAATCAGGTTTTGTGTAAAAAAGTTTGTAAAACTGCTTTAACGTATTTCAACGTTACAAATTGAATATACTTGTCAGCAGGTGTACGCACTGTAATCTGTTGAGAGGGGGAACATTGACCACTATGACAGTCATCTCAAAATGGCGGTCTCCTATTAAGGCTGATTTTTATATTTCTATTGAAAACTAAACATAACATGCGAATATTATTGCTAGTGTTTTTTTCTTATTATATATTTATTATTATTAATAACAAAGTTTGTATTAAAATGATAATATAATTTGAAAATGTTACTTTACCCTACTCTAACTTATTTTACATATATTTTAAATCTGCATAAATATTGCCTATTAGGATTAACTGGATTGAACCAGATTAAATTGAATTGTAAAAATATATCCTGTGTCAAATTATTTTTTATTGTATATATTTAGTCACTTATAATCTAGAAATGAAAGTTTTTAAAGTTGTTATATAAAAATCATTATTTTTAATATATTTATCTATATAAATTATAGTATGCACATGCTTGTAATGCGCGCGTACGCGCGTGCGCAAATGATCATAATTTTGAAATAATAAATTTGTTAGAAGTGGTAGAACTGATTTTAATCATGCGGTTTTAACGTTGGTAGTGGTTGGAAGTTTTAACATGTGTATAACCTCAACAAATTATTATATTTTTGTATAATAGTTTAAGAATATTATTAAGATATAGTATAAATATGTATATGTGTATATTACATAATATGATTTATTATTAATTAACAATAAACTTAATAGTTTATAAAAACATTAACAATTCATTTTAAATAAGTGAAATATTAAATAGAAATATGGTTTTACCATATACAGAAATTGAAGACATTGAGGATATAGTAACTAAGAATGATATTACTCCAAAGGAAAGATATGGTGCGAGAAAATATGTCGTTGTACGTGCGAAACGTAAAAAACAAGTAGAGGAATTTCCAGAGCCTACAATATTATCGAGCATTATACCAGGAACACAAAAGATTTTTGTTAAAACATGGGGATGTACCCACAATAATTCTGACAGCGAGTATATGGCTGGACAACTTGCAGCATATGGTTATCGGTTAACTGACGACAAGCTTGATGCAGATTTATGGCTTTTAAATTCATGTACCGTTAAGACACCTGCAGAGGATCATTTTAGAAATGAGATTGAATATGGGAAAAAGAATGGAAAACATATCGTTGTCGCAGGGTACAATATCAAATATAAAAAAGTTAGTCTTTTTTGATGAAAAGAGAAATAATGTATTTATTTTTATATTTTTAGATGTGTTCCTCAAGGTGCACCAAAATCTTCTTTCTTAAAGGGATTGAGTATGGTAGGAGTACAGCAAATTGATAGAATTGTTTCAGTAGTAGAAGAAACGCTTAAAGGTAATACTGTAAGATTTTTAAGTCAGAAGAAAGTACAAGGGAAAAAAATAGGAGGTGCATCATTAAGCTTACCAAAAGTTCGAAGGAATCCTTTGATCGAGATTATAGCCATAAATACCGGTTGTTTAAATCAATGTACTTATTGTAAAACTAAACATGCCAGAGGTGAACTTGGAAGTTATCCTCCTGAAGAAATAATAGAACGTGCTAAACAGGCTTTCGAAGAAGGAGTATGTGAAATATGGTTGACGTCTGAAGATACTGGAACTTATGGCAGAGATATTGGAACTAGCTTACCCGAATTATTATGGGAATTAGTGAAAGTTATTCCTAATGATTGTATGATGCGCATCGGCATGACCAATCCACCTTATATAATAGAGCATTTGGAAGAAATGAGTAAAATATTAGATCATCCCAGAGTCTATAGTTTCTTACATATACCTGTGCAATCTGGTAGCGATCAAATATTGGTCGATATGAAAAGAGAATATTCTTGCTCCGAGTTTGAATATGTTGTTGACTTTTTAAAATCCAAAATTTCAAATATTACTATAGCAACAGATATAATATGTGGTTTTCCAACAGAAACAGAGAATGATTTTGAAGAAACTATGAAGCTTTGTAAAAAGTATAAATTTCCAAATTTATTTATTAATCAATTTTTTCCAAGACCTGGCACACCAGCAGCTAAAATGCGTAGAGTTCCTACACAAGAAGTTAAACAAAGAACTAAAAAATTAACAGAATTCTTTCATTCTTATCAACCTTACGATCACAAAATTGGACTAATTGAAAAAGTATTAGTAACAGAATTATCTCACGATAAATTACATTACGTAGGACACAATAAATTTTATGAACAAGTTTTAGTCCCCAAGCAAGAAGAATATTTAGGAAAAATGATATCTGTTAAAATTGTTCGAGCCACTAAATATTCGATGGAAGGTCAACCAATAAACGAAGAGACCTCTTATCTACAAGGTTTATCTTTAATATCATCAAAACTTCATATTATGAAGTCTAGTTATACATTGGAAAAGATAATGTTAGGGATGTGTTTTGTCTTCATGGCTAAAATTTTATGGTCATTTTTGTGAAATTCGAAAATAAATCAAAACAAAATATATTCTTATTTATTTGACGAATATTTTTATATTTGAAAAAAAAAAAAATTAAAAATGAAAACGAAGTAATAATAATAATAATAATAATAATAATAATAATAATAATAATAATAATAAATTTTGTTTATATAAAAGCTTGTAATGTTATAATGATTAAAAGA